AAAATATCCATATGTCCAATATTCCTTATCATTATTATGATCATTTTTCCATTATTATATATTATCTATCATTTACATAATATTGTTGTTGTTTGCTGTTGTATATTATATTGCTATTATTATTATTACTATTATCATAATCATTATCATTATTATTATTATTATCATCATGATCATTATATTATTATCATTATCATCGGATACTTTATTATATAATTATATTATCATTATTATTATTGTTATTATTATCATTATCATTATTTACATTGTTATATCATTACCATATTTTTATGTTTATTATCATTATTATGATGATTTTTTATTATTTATCATTCATTATCATCTATAATAATAAAATGAAATAATTAATATATAAAATATTAATTATCATTATCATATTATTATTGTTCCTCTCGGATTTAATATTTATTCTCTCTTTCTTCTTCTGCTTCTTCTTCTTCTTCTTCTTTTTCCTCTCATCTCCTCTTCCTCCTCTCTCTCTCTCTCTCTCTCTCTCCCTCTCTCTCTCTCTCCTCTCTATCTCTCTCTCTCCTCTCTCTCTCTCTCTCTCTCTCTCTCTCTCTCTCTCTCTCTCTCTCTTTCTCATTCTCTCTCTCTCTCTCTCTCTCTCTCTCTCTCTCTCTCTCTCTCTCCTCTCTCTCTCTCTCTCCTCTCCCGCTCTCTCTCTCTCCTTTCTCTTCTCTCTTCTNACACACACACACGCAAAAAACACACACACACACACACAAAAACACACACACACACAAAAACACACAACACACGCACACACACACACACACACACGCAAAAACCACACACACACACGCAAAAACACACACACACACACACACGCAAAAACACACACACACACACAAAAACACACACACACACAAAACACACACACACACACCACACACACACACACGCAAAAACACACACACACACATGCAAAAACACACACACACACACACAAAAACACACACACACACACAAAAACACACACACACACACACACACGCAAAACACACACACAACACACACGCAAAAACACACACACACACACACACACACACACACGCAAAAACACACACCACACGCAAAACACACAACACACACACACACACAAAAACACGACACACACATACAAACACAAACACACACCCGCAAAAACACACACACACACACACACACACACGCAAAAAACCACACACCACACACACAAAAACACACACACTCAAAAAACACACACACACACACAAAAAAAACACACAACACACACACAAAAAAAAACACACACAAAAACACACACACACACACACACACATAAAAACACACATACACACACAGAAACACACACACAGACACACACAGAAACACACACACACACACACACAGAAACACACACACACACACAGAAAACACACACACACACACACACACATATATATATGTATATTTATTTGTATATATTTATATATCTATATCTATATCTATATTGTCTGTATGTATGTATGTATGTATATGTATATGCATATGTATATATCTATATCTAAATATATCTTTATATATATGATAAGTAAACCAAAGTATTTCAATATCTTTGCATACATACCCACACACACCTGTACATGTATGTGGTTAATTGGGAGAAAATAAATATTGCATACAGTATGTTATTCTTTATTTGGCAAGAACAGCACATTGAACAATAGAGTTGAAAAGTGAAGGGACTGATGAAAATAAGCATGTAGAAAATATTACTGCCTGGTTTCAAGTTTTGAATTAGGAATATTCCAATGGTTAACCTAAAGTATTTTAATATCTATTTATGAGAGATCCTATCACAATTATATCTTTGATTTTTAATATTTGAATTGTAATTTTTATGAATAACAACAACTTACACTCCCATCTTAGAAATAATGGGCCTGAACAATGATTTTCAAATTCTCAGTATATTCTAATAAGGGACCTTAAAATACAGCATGATTATTACATCTCACATAACATAAATCTAGGTAACAATAGGATAGAACACAGTAAACAGGAAATTTATCCCAATGTATTTTTATAGGAGAAAGTAGGTTATAATTGTAATTTCAGATGAAAATGGGAAAAGATATATTATCGACACTTTTCAATATCTTATAAATAAACAAAATATTCTCTTTCTGCTAAAATGCCTGTTACACTATTGGGGAAAGATATCTTCAGCACTAATTATAAAAACATTCATAAAAACTGGTAAGATGAAAAATACAGGACTTTAGTACTAAAACCCTTTTATCCAACGTGATACGAGTAGAAGTAAATCAGCTTTGCACAGGCTTTCAAACATATGCTGATGTTCATTCTTCTATCCAAACATTAGTATAGGTATGACAGTAAAAACATTATCTGCATGGATACTCTACACAATACTTGAAAGAGAAAAAAGTTGACAAAGTCCTACTTTCCTATTATGTTGATTTACAGTATAAAAAACAGATTGGCATTTAACTTACCCAGTTATATTTAAGATTAACTTGACCATTTGTCAGTTTGGTTATACAGGTTGGAACAAACAACGACCACACAACTACAGAAGATAAGAGAATTGCTGATACGTGGAGTTGAAAGATGCACATCAAATAACAGAAGCCTTATATATATATCAATCAAATTATCATAAAAAATACAAAGGAACTTGTGTTCAAAATTATAAAATTTAGAAATTGAAAAATAACTTAAAAAAACAAAGGGAGCACCAAAAGCCTGAATAATTTCATAACAAATTTAGAATAAAAAAATATATAAATATTTTTATTAACAATATTTTCACATTAGCCATGTTTATTACCCTATATTTTTAATAATATTCTGTATACAATAAAATAAACAACAGGATTATTATATAACAACTTTTCCAATGCTTATTTTTTGTTCCTAAAAACAAAATTCATGATAAATTTCAAACATTTACAGAAGTCCCATACAAAAACTTTTTCTGCCTATCACTTGAAAACAAGCAATACACTCTTTACATAAAGTTCTTGCTATGATTTGCAATCAGAAAAATATATGATGTATAAAAAGACTACCTCTCTATATCACTGACTGAGGTGTCATGAAAACAGCATGTTAAATGTAAACTATTATGTTTTGTCAATACCTCAACATATGTAATTAAAATGCCACAATAGCATTATTCACACAACTGATACATAATTGTCATATGTTCTATGTTAGGGAAGATCTAATCTCCCTAATACACTTCTAAAATATCACCAAGTCATGGAAAAATAATATACAAACAATTCTTTGGCTAAAATTAAGGCACACATCAATACTAAATATGCTGAAAAAAGTACTTACTATTCATATTTGAAAGTGATACAAAGTATGTCAATTGAATATCCTTAGAAAAAACTATTCTTTTTTCTCTTGAAGTCTATGAATCAAAAAATCTAATTAAGTTCCACCTCCTCTGAGATTCTTTTATAAATAACATCATAATTTGCTATTAGAAATGCATAAACACATTAACACATGATAATTAAACCTCTGTCCTTACAAGAGATATGAAAACCATGACACAAGAGTTGGTACTTTTATGATGAGAAATTTATAATACAGGTAGTTTCATGTCATGCTTGATATTAGTAATAAAATAGGAGTCATTCATGAGAGTGCTATCAATAATGCTAAAGTTATTCCTAAATCTACATCCTGAAAATCAAGAAATATGTATTTTTTTCAAAGTAAAACAAAGATCCATATAACTTTTTTTTTAATTCTGAAAGCAAAAACATCAAAGTTGTGCAAATGTGAATTTCCTAATAACTATAACAGCTAGCATTATGGCTCTCGTATAATGAAATTTAAACACTAACTGTAAAAGCAACAGCCAATATTTCTATAATGCAGAACTAGATGGATCCTTACGTGTTTGACTTTACTACATTGTGAAAATTATTCGTCCACTAGAAAAAACAAAAACAAAAAAAAAAACAGAAGACAAACAAAGAACAACATAAAAAATTGTGTATATCTATATGCATTTCCATACATATAATCTTTAGGACACATACAAAATACATTTTTGTAAATGCCTAAATATCAATTTCATACATACACATTAACACACACGTATGCGTTTATCTAAATAATCATAAATACTAAAGTCAGCTGATGGTTTAATTTATATTAAAATGTATAATTTACCTGCTGTCTAACCAACCTGGGAAGCACATAACCTTAGCCTATGATACATTCAAAATGAGGAATCAGGTCCTTCATTTTTACCCCTTCATGAGCATGTATATATGCATACTTGTTTGGTTACTGTTTATGACTGATTGGTTATTTTGCACGTATGTATTCATTAGAAAATTAATTTCTTATGTAATGGCTAGTTGCAGCTCATGAATGGGCAATATGGGATAACATCATTAGACTGAAAGATTTTGTAGTTTTTTCCCATACTATTTTGGATCATATTTTTGAAAAATAAAATTCTAGCAATAATATGTCAACAAGTTATACATCAATTCATACCTGAATTTTGTTTCCAATATTTGACATTTTTAAAAAATAATTGAAGATAACATACTGAATAAATCTGCAGTAATTAAATGCTGATGCATATGAGTTAACTTGAGACATATAGAGGCCTGTGATATACTGAAATGAAAAACAGTATTTAAGTAATTAATAGTATATGGAATTACAATTTNACGTTTGACTTTACTACATTGTGAAAATTATTCGTCCACTAGAAAAAAAAAAAAAAAAAAAAACAGAAGACAAACAAAGAACAACATAAAAAATTGTGTATATACATACATATAATTTTAGGACACATACAAAATACATTTTTTGTAAAAATATATTCATACATACACATTAACACACACGTATGCGTTTATCTAAATAATCATAAATACTAAAGTCAGCTGATGGTTTAATTTATATTAAAATGTATAATTTACCTGCTGTCTAACCAACCTGAAGAACACATAACCTTAGCCTATGATACATTCAAAATGAGGAATCAGGTCCTTCATTTTTACCCCTTCATGAGCATGTATATATGCATACTTGTTTGGTTACTGTTTATGACTGATTGGTTATTTTGCACGTATGTATTCATTAGAAAATTAATTTCTTATGTAATGGCTAGTTGCAGCTCATGAATGGGCAATATGGGATAACATCATTAGACTGAAAGATTTTGTAGTTTTTTCCCATACTATTTTGGATCATATTTTTGAAAAATAAAATTCTAGCAATAATATGTCAACAAGTTATACATCAATTCATACCTGAATTTTGTTTCCAATATTTGACATTTTTAAAAAATAATTGAAGATAACATACTGAATAAATCTGCAGTAATTAAATGCTGATGCATATGAGTTAACTTGAGACATATAGAGGCCTGTGATATACTGAAATGAAAAACAGTATTTAAGTAATTAATAGTATATGGAATTACAATTTTTAAAAAAAAAAAAAAACTGATCAGTTGTTTTCATGAGTATCTAAAGGTGAATTTTGGAAAGCTGTCCTAAATTTTTGGCTGGAAGCATACTTGCGCATGAAACTTTACCAAAATTTCCTTTCCCATATAATTTCTTAGGTATCTGCATGGTAAATCTTACAATACACATAACTTAAAAGTTACTAAAACATGCTTGGAAGAATGCTTCTAACCTCACCTGAAACTAGGTATGATTAGCTTACCAATATTTACTTTAGTACAAAATGAATTTACAGTGTCAGGTGCTGCTGTACACTTACTTATTTCTGTAGCAATAAAGTAAATGAAGAGACAGGCCTGTCATTCTTCACATTGAATTTTTTGTAGAAGGCATATGTTTAGTATGTCAGCAAAATAGTTTACAGCATAGTAAGTTTACAGCTACCCTGAGGATAAATGGACATACCCCATAATTTATTTTAAAAAAAAGTAAAAAAAAAAATTGTGATAACCTTTAAGTACACAAAATAGTTTTTTTTTATGATCTTTGAACAAAAATGCATAAATTATAGATGATGGCCGTAAAAACTATCTGTTTTCTTTTTCATTCTTTGAAGTTTTCCTTTGCAATTTTTGATTGTTAAATAAATGCATAGACATCAATATTATGTTTTTGGTTTTAAAAAGACACACTTTCATGGTCTCCAAAAGAGTCTATGCAAGAATCTGTAATCTGATTATGTAATCACAGAGATGTAATTCAGGATGGGTATCCCCAAAATTAAATTCCCGAGAGAAGTACAATAAAGTTGTACAAAAAAAGCAATCTTACAAATAGAATGAGACAGGTAATCATAACAAACATCTAAATTTTCACTTCAAAAATATCCATAAGCCTGGAAAGAGGTACAAAGCACATAGATGAGCCAAAACGAAATCATGATGGCTCCCGAGACGTATTTCATTGGAACATTTCCTCCAAGCTCTGCTTTTCCAAACACTCCCAGGAATCTGAAAATGCCCATTCAGTTAGAACAAAGAATAACAACATAAGAATGCAATAAAATAAGTTCACTTTGATTTCAGTACATACTTCAATAACATTCTAACTATGAATAATAATATGGATATTGTCAAGGCTCTAGATATCTAAGAAGTGAAACAAACTTGTTAATCATATTCTCCTGCAGATATGAGACTTACTAGCAATTTACAACACCCATTTCCATGAAACATTCTCATCTTCTACTTACCTTCTCAGCAAAAGGAGACCAATGCACAAAATACAAAGACCAGTGAATACGCCAACACTGAAGCCTAGGTTACCAGCAGGAACAAAGAATACTTTTCCCTGAAAGTATGAGGGGAAATTATCACAACAGTGTGGTGTATCACCAAACAATTAGAATCTGAATAGAAATGTAATACTTAATTACCAACCGAGCAGGTTATTATCCCATATTTCTTGAGTGAATCTAAATAGAAATGACCTTAAATTGAATTAATAAAATAGGGTAAAAAATGTACATCAAATCATTAAACCATCTTAATCATTACCATTATTACTTACTTCCAATGTGCATATACAAACACCATTTTCACAACAGAATAATGTGCAACCAGAAAAAGTTAAAAAAGAAAGTGGGAAATAATTGAATAGTATTTCAAAATTTCATTTACTAATTTACAAACTAAAAGCTAGACTTACCCTTATCTTGTTGACTATTGCTGCAATGAGCCATGGTGCTCCCAATCCCAGGAACACATTGACTGAGTTACTACCTGTTACATTACCCACAGCATTATCAGCATATTTCTCTTGAACAGCTGCAGTCTTGGATGCAAATGTATCTGGCAGTGAAGTTCCCAGGGCAACGAAGGTGATGGCTAATGGGAGGAGAAAGATATATGTTAAGACTAATGTCTATATCAGAAGACAGCAGCAATCACTTGCATTCTGCACATAGATGGGTCTGCCAATGCTTAGCCACAAAGGAGTCAATTAGTAGATCTTGCGACCTCACTTTTCCTTGAAAAAGTGGGAAAACGCTTTTTTACTAATGCTATCAATATTGGCACTGTTATTTTTGTTATAAACATTATAATTACTATATTGTTACTGACATTACTAACAGCAGTATTATATATTAGAAAATCAAGGAAAAGGGTAAACAGGTGAGACAGGTAATTTGCAATAATGGCTCATTGGTGACTGTACTTTTGTAGCCATCTATATTTAAAAACAATTACTAAATCTAACACACACATTGGGCAATGGCATGTATGTACATGCCATGCCCGGTGGCTTGGGGTTAAACACATAATCACATGTCTTGACAATGACTGTCTGAATTTTTAACAACCTCAGCTGTCCTTACCAGTAACAGAGTTCTTAAGTCCAACAAGACAACCAAATGTGGCAGCCAAATCACCAATGATTGCCGTCAACAAACCAATAGCGCCGAGAGATACGAAGAAACACAACCATCCACCAAGTATGCCAGGGGGAGGCACCAGAGAAAATATGATCTGGAAAAGAAAAACATTCATAAATATAATCCAAAATATCATCTAATACAATTTCTATCCATTCAAGCTTTTCAAATCTAAAGTAGTAATCTTTTATAGAAAACAGTTATTTACTATGAGATGAACACATATACAAACACATGTATGTGTGTGTGTGTGTGTGTGTGTGTGTGTGTGTGTGTGTGTGTGTGTGTGTGTGTGTGTGTGTGTGTGTGTGTGTGTCTGTGTGCGTGTGTGTCTGTGTGTGTGTGTCTGTGTGTGTGTGTGTGTGCGTGTGTGTGTGTGTGTGTGTGTGTGCGTGTGTGTCTGTGTGCAGTGTGTGTGTGTGTGATGTGTGTGTGTGTGTGTGTGTGTGTGTGTGTGTGTGTGTGTGTGTGTGTGTGTGTGTGTGTGTGTGTCTGTGTGCGTGTGTGTCTGTGTGTGTGTGTGTGTGCGTGTGTCGTGTGTGTGTGTGTGTGTGTGTGTGTGTGTTGTGTGTGTGTGTGTGTGTGTGTGTGTGTGTGTGTGCAGGTGTGTACAGTAGCATTATGATTAAAAAAAAAAATCATGTATACTCACTTTCCACCCAAAGGTAAGGAAATGCATCACATAATCCATTCCCGTTGCATTTTCAATGTCACCACCATTAACATTGAGAGCATCCTTAATCTGACTCAGGTAAGTCTCATGGTGAACTTGCAGTGCATGCACATTGGCATTTGTCATGATCATCATGTTGGCCAAGACATTGTTGAAATCTAGCAAGAAATTAAAAAAGAGATAAGAAAACAAGAGAATGGTCGTTAAGAAAGATCTGTCTGTTGTCTTTTTCCAAGTCCATTCAATCATATTCTACTCTTCAGCAACTTTCTATTCCATACATGTTTCATAACAAGCTAGATCTCACCATCATCATTGGTAATGGTAACAGCTGTGCGGTTGATCTGGCCCAACTTAGCTCCTCCAGTTGGGTCAAAAAGTTCAATCTCAAAATGCTCATCTTTTTCTGGGGTCATGTCATCGATAATTGGAATCTCAATATTCTGTTCAATCTGTTTATAAGAAAATAGATAACCATTAATTATGGCATAAGTATACTTTTTCACATACAAGATGTTTTTATGTAATGCATAGTTTATGACAGTAACTGTTTATCTATGACACTTGATCTTTATCAAATAAAATACTAAAATATAAAAGAGAGAGATATGAAGGAAAACTAATTCAAAGTGCCTTCATTATAAAACAAAGTATGAATCACAATACACTATTTCAGAAATGGAAATGAGCATTTGAAATTCTAATTATACAATATTTAGCAATATATTCCCCATGTTATTTAAATAGTTAAACCATCATATCATTGCTTCCCATCTATACATCCAACAATAATTATCACACATTACCCCCTTGTCCTTACCTCAGTGTGCTTGAACACGAGAACACCTTCCCCTCCTTCAAAGTCCCTTCCTGAGATAGCAGTTTTGTCGATTGACCTCCATTTCACAGTAATTTCCCCATCAGCTCCATTCTTTCGCACTACAGGGATGATAGCCTTACCAATGCTCTCCTTTACAAGAAAACCTCGCTTCTGGAACATTACCATACCAGGTTCTGCAAACATGGGATAATACTTTAGTAATACAGATTTTGTTTATCAGTCCAGAAAAACAATTTGTTTTAGCTCTAAGAAAAATGCAGCTAGTTTCATATGTCTATGATACTTCAAAAAATATATTTAAATTTTGCAACTTTGCTCAAAAATGTGTTGCTAGATCAACAGTCTTGCCAAAACTTCTACATCCAAAAAAAAAAAAGAGTAAAAAGGAAAAAAATCATATGCAGCAGGTCTGTGCCAGTGGTAAATACTGCAAACTCCTCTGTATACTTATTTTGCACAGTGTCAACCTTTACAGTGCAGTGTATCAATATCCTTTAACACAAACACTGTGTCTGTACAATGCATAAGTGATGAGTGGTAAAAATAATTATGCCTTAATTTTTTTATATGAACTGAGATGTATGTTTCAACACATTCTTGATAATATAGATAAATTTGAGTGAGTTATCAATGCTCATTCAATACAGTAAAATATCTACTCATATTTTTTGTCCTTAAACCTTTTTGAAAGGACAAAGGAGTCCAGAATCAAAACCTTTAAAATACTTTAGAAACAGCAATTAAGCTAGATTAATGATTCTATGACATTTTGTGTGCTAGAAAGTCCACTGCACCTAATATACTTTAATACATATATAAATGTACACATACTACAAATATCAACTAAATTAACATGAAACCTAACTTCTACCATATTAGACAGCTACTAAACTCCTACTGTCTTTCAAATTCTTTTAATCTCTTTTCAATATCTTTAACACATAAATTTCTCTTTACATTACACAAAGCACATAATATATATACACACAGCTCTTTGTATAGAGCTCTTTTTATGTATGGCAAAGTAAGCTACGCTGCTCTTAGTTATCATATATAAGAGGACATTAAAAGGTACAAAAAAGTAAAAAAGCAATATCAATTAAGGAAACATAATTAAGAAATCAATGACCAATCACAAAATAAATACCCTGATTAAGGACTTTCCAATGATGCTTAAAGATTTTAAAACCGCATACAATGATTATTTGGAGAAAGTTCAAAGAACTGGAATATCATATAAATAATCTCAGCACCTTTTCTGTCTCAACAGACAAGACTATTGGTAACATACAATCTGCTATTGGACAGGCAGCTTCTATAATAAATGTTGAATAATAGCGTACAAGCTCTTCTTGCAAACAAACATCTCAGTCAAATGTTTAAACTTGCCAAACTATACCAAATATTACTGGTATCCAGATCAGACATACTATCTGTAAAGCAAGAATCAAAACATTCATTATCTTACACTTGTAATGCATAAATAAAGAACATGAAATATCTTGCCTAGTTTTATCCCTTAACTCTCAAATAACTGTTAACTACCAAATGATGTGTGTGTGTGTGTGTGTGTGTGTGTGTGTGTGTGTGTGTGTGTGTGTGTGTGTGTGTGTGTGTGTGTGTGTGTGTGTGTGTGTGTGTGTGTGTATGTGTGTGTGTGTGTGTGTGTGTGTGTGTGTATGTGTGGTGTGTGTATGTGTGTGTGTATGTGTGTGTGTGTGTATGTGTGTGTGTATGTGTGTGTGTGTGTGTGTATGTGTGTGTGTGTGTGTGTGTGTGTGTGTGTGTGTGTGTGTGTGTGTGTGTGTGTGTGTGTGTATGTGTGTGTGTGTGTGTGTGTGTGTGTGTGTGTGTGTGTGTGTGTGTGTGTGTGTGTGTGTGTGTGTGTGTGTGTGTGTGTGTGGTGTGTGTGTGTGTGTAGTGTGTGTGTGTGTGTGTGTGGTGTGTGTGTGTGTGTGTGGTGTGTGTTGTGTGGTGTGTGGTGTGTGTGTGTGTGTGTGTGTGTGTGTGTGTGTGTGTGTGTGTGTGTGTGTGTGTGTGTGGTGTGTGTGTGTGTGGTGTGTGTGTGTGTGTGTGTGTGTGTGTGTGTGTGTGTGTGTGTGTGTGTGTGTGTGTGTGTGTGTGTGTGTGTGTGTGTGTGTGTGTGTGTGTGTGTGTGTGTGTGTGTGTGTGTGTGTGTGTGTGTGTGTGTGTGTGTGTGTGTGTGTGTGTGTGTGTGTGTGTGTGTGTGTGTGTGTGTGTGTGTGTGTGTGTGTGTGTGTGTGTGTGTGTGTGTGTGTGTGTGTGTGTGTGTGTGTGTGTGTGTGTGTGTGTTGTGTGTGTGTGTGTGTGTGTGTGTGTGTGTGTGTGTGTGTGTGTGTGTGTGTGTGTGTGTGTGTGTGTGTGTGTGTGTGTGTGTGTGTGTTTTAGGAGGGGAATGGTAAAAATGTATATTTTTCCAGTTTATACTGTTGTAGTTTTTCATAGTTCTACATTTCACTAGAAGGTGTCTTTGCTAATTCTAAAACAATCAAAATAAAACTAGAGTGCATTTCTCATAAACACCTAAGCTAAACAACTGAACAGATAGAGGTTTATTTCCATATGCATCAACTAACAGAAATAAGGAGGTAAATTTTCTTCTTATTTTTCATCATCAGTATCAGAATATATATTTCTTTATGCTAACCTTTATGCAGCCTCACA